CATGTTGTTCCCTCCCAATGACACAATCACAAACCAGTGCATCGACCTCTCCGCTCTAACCCTGTCAGAAAAACAAAGAGTCACTAATCTGGGAGTGATAATGGACCCTTCCCTGAAATCATGTTTCTTCCAACTGAGGCGGCTGTCTAAACTGAAGCCCATATTGTCCAAAAATAGCCTGGAGACAGTAATACATGCATTCATTACATCTAGGCTTGATTACTGCAATTCACTCCAGTTTGGTACCAGTCAAACCTCCATTGCACGACTACAACTGGTCCAGAATGCAGCAGCCCGATTTTTAACCAGTACAGGCAAAAGAGAGCACATTACACCAGTTTTGGCCTCACTGCATTGGTTACCGGTTCACCTTCGAATTCAGTTCAAAATACTCTTGTATGTCTACAAATCGCTGAACAGTTTCCACCCAGAAATGCCCCTGGCTGGGATTTGAATCAGGATAACCTGCTCGCTGAGAGGCAGCAGCTCTACCAACTGCGCCACCGTGCTGCCAATAAATAATCAGAGCTTTATCACATTCATACACCAATCAGACACACATTGGAGGCAACAAGTGGTTCAGTGTGTTGCCCAGGGACACTTCAGGCAGTGACTGCTGGTGGAATTGAACTGCCAACTCTTGCATTTGAGGACAACTGCTCTAACCACTCAGCCACAGCTGCCCCGAAATCTGCAACTTTTGTAAAAAAAATTGTGCAAAAATACATTTATTACATCTTGAACACATCGAATCACAGTTTAGTCTGATCAATCGATCGTTTGATGAATTAATCAATCAATCAGTGAGTCAGTCAAGTTAACCAACGTAACAAAGTCTCAGTTTGACGATGCTTGAAAATTTTAACTTTTCTTCAAATGTGCTCTTCATAGATCCTGAACCGTCCTAAAATCTGGATTGTCCTTAAGTCTGGACTGGACGCTAGTTTTGGTTGACACTGTAACCCTGGTCGGGTGTAAATCTGAGCTTTAATGAATAACTTCTGTCAGAACGGTCCAGCTGGTCCTCTGGGGACAGTTTGATAAAATGAACCTCATGTTGGGTCAAAGAGGACCTAAAGTCTGCTACAGAGGACAAAAACTGAGACCAGGAAAGATGCTCCCTCAGTGTGGAACCAACGTTTACAGATAAAACAAAAAACGATCAAAACATTCTGTAAATCTGTAAAAGTCTGAATTTATGACTCAGGGAGAGTTAGATCCCATCGTCACATCACAACAAGACAGAAATAAAATGAAATAAACAAAATAAAACAATAAAAAAAAACATAATTTTAAACATTCAAACAGAACCCTGGACAGAAACAGGTTCTGTGCAGCAGGACATACAAGTTCTCCTGGATCTCCAGAGTCTGTCTCCTCAGAGTTCAGGGACTAAAACTGGACGTTCTGTCTCATGATGAAGTCCATAGTCCCAGGACGGGATCTATTCTTTCTTCCTGATTGTCTTTGTCCACCTGTCTGTCCCCTGTGCTGCTGTTGGACTGTTTGTTGCAGAGACTTTCTGCCTCCAGCAGAGGACACCCATCCTCTGCTGTCGTCCCATCCTCTGCTGTCCTCTTGTCCTGTGTTGTCCTCCTGTCCTCTGCTGTCCCCCCATCCTCTGCTGTCCTCCTGTCCTCTGCTGTCCTCTTGTCCTGTGCTGTCCTCCCGTCCTCTGCTGTCCTCTTGTCCTGTGCTGTCCTCCCGTCCTCTGATGTTCTCTCAGCTGCAACGATGCTCACAGAGTTGATTTCCTCAACGAGCTCCGAACTCATCGCCAAAAACATGGAGGATTTGGGCGTCGCCAGGAGAGCCTGAGGAGACAGGAGGACACATTAGAGAGTCGGACACAGAGAAAGCTCCTCCTTGAATCAGATGTTCCTCCTCCTCCTCCTGTGGAGTCACACTGACCTCGATGTGCTGCGGCAGGGCTTCTTTGGGGAAAAGAGACTGGGAAATCTTTGTCCAGTTAAGCACAACCAGAACCACGAGAGCCACGACCCCCACCATGACGACAGACGCGATGACAGCCGGGACCCACTGAGACTCCTCTGAAACAGAACCAGACCTTCAGCCTCAGAATGGTGGAACTTGTCTTTGTTTGGACACACTGAAGACATCTGAGTCAATCTTTGGGCTTGTTCTGTTCTTTGGCAGGACCGAGGGGTGTCACGCCCCCAGAACCACCGCGTTGACCCGTCTGGAACTTAACAACCAGTTAAATCTGGAGGAGGATCCCCGTGAGAGGTTTGATGCTCACCATCAGTGGTGCTCTCACAGATGATGCTGCTGGACTTGCTGGGGTTTGGGTTCCGGTCTGTGACGATGCGGACTTGGACACAGTACTCGCTTTTGGGGTCCAGGTTGTTCAGAACCACCCGGGTCTGCTTTACCAGCTCATATTTAGACTGCAGGGTCCAACAGAATCAAGTCAGAAACTGAAGACACGTTAAATGCGGGTTTTCTTTGGGAGCCGTGGAGCCGGTCGGTCCCTTTGGAGACAGCATGGAAGGTCCGTGCTGCATGTTTGGATCAGGACCAGCAGGAACTGAGTTACAGTTGGTGCTGGTGTCCTGACACCACGACAATCCACAATCAGAAACAACAAATGACAGGTCGTTTTTAACAGTTATTAAAGTAATAACAGTGAACAGTGCAACTCTACCAGGCACTTCCACAGTCCCCAGTTCTGGACTGAAGTCCTGGATCTGAATGTCCCCATTCCTGTAACTAAACGTCTCACCTTCTCCTCCTGTCCTCTCTTCCAGTAGGTGATGTTGTAGGAGGCCGAACTGTACACGTCCCTCAGAGATGAATCGTGGAACTCTGGATCTGTGATGCTGACCTCCAGAGTCCAACCGTTGGACAGAACCGACACGTTCGGGGAACCGATGATGGCTAAAAAACCAAAAAAAAAAACAAATAAAAAACATCAACGTTAGCTTAGAGCAAGCCACCGAGGGCTGAGAGAAGAAGAAACAAGAGTCTGTGGGAAAATGTCGGCAAAATGACCTTTGGGTCGAAGAGAAGTGGATTTTGGGACGTTGGTTAAAGATTACCAGACTTACTGTCTTTGTCCGGTATGATCTGGTTACTTTCCACCCACGGTGAACTCTCTGCTCCCAGCAAGACCCGAACTCTTCCCGTGTAGGTCCCATACCTGCTGACGCTGGAGGTCAGGTCACATTCAGGAGCTGAGATGTTCACGCAACCGTTCCTGTAGCCCGAGACCGAGCTCCTGAAACCCCAAACACAGAACCCAGATCACCGGGGACGCTAAAGGTTTCATTTAAAGTTGGACACAAACAGGACCTGCTGGTAGTTTCTCATTAGTTCTCTGTGGAAGATTTGTTAAATCTGGTTCTTAGACCACCTCCCTTCATGGAAACAGTTCTCCACGAAGAACCACTAGAACGCCTTCATATTTTTTACTTTCCATTTGGTTTTGTTTTTAATCATTCCTGTTTTTAAAATAGTTTTAAAACTCCTCCAGATATCTCGCTGATCTGCTGCAGCCATATCTCCCACAGTGCTCTCTGAGGTCAGCAGACCGGATGCTTTATTGGTTCCAGGCACTCGTTTTAAGCTCAGAGGTGGCAGGACCTTCTCTGTTGCAGGTCCAAGACTGTGGAATGAGTTACCACTGCATGTCAGGCAGGCTCCCTCTCTCACTGGTTTTAAGTCTCGTTTTAAAAACTCACTTTTATTCCCTGGTTTTGACTCTGTATGAGCTGATTTTAACTTCTGTATTCTATAATGTTAGTCATTTAGTTCTTATCTTTATCTCTGTGGATCTACGTATTTGTTGCTGTGTCCTTTGCTTTTTTGTTTTGTTTTGTTTTTGTACATTTGGTTGGCCTTGTTGCTGTTTTAAGTGCTTTATAAATAAAGCGGTTTGGTATTTCCTCCAGCAGACACATGAAGAAGTTGGATTTATATTGGGCTCCAGCTCTGGTACAGTCTCACCATTAACTTACATGGTTACTGGAAACTAACTTCCTGTTTCCCAGCTCGTAGTTCTGTATTCAGACCAACTTCCTGTTTTTTAAACTGCAATCAGAAGTTACACCTGGACACCTTGACTGGCCTCCCACATGGACCAGCCTTCTGCACCTGGATTAGTATCCCACACAGTCTGCAGCAGGAAGTTTAATTTCTTGTCTTTTTTTTATTCAAATTTTCAAATTCAGCATCAAGTGATGTTAAATAAGTTTATAAAACTACCGTAACCTGTGTTTATGTGGAAACTCAAACTCTCCTGCTGTCCTTGGGTCCACAGATTAAAAACATTTTGGCCCAAGGGCAGCAGGGGGGTTAAGACAATTCAAACACCTTCAAAATATAAATGGTAAATTCAATTCAATTTATTTATATAGCATCAAGTCACAACAGCAGTCAACTCAGGGCACTGAACAGAAACATTCACATTGATAAAAAAGCCAATTACTAAAAGTTATCCATCTAAATTGACTGTACTTACCGTAATTTCCGGACTATCAAGCACATTCAACTATAGGCGGTGCCCACTAAACAAAAATAAAATAAAAAATTGTACATATATAGGCCGCGCTTGTCTATAAGCAGCGGGTGTTACATTGTAACATGAAACATTTACACAGACAGATTTTTTAAACTTTTAATTAAATACGTACCAGTAGCACACAAATACGTACAGCAAATGATTTTTCCTGAAGAGTGACTGTAACACAGCTGGTTCAAGGACCCAGCATACTCGGGCGTACTTCAGTCCGCGGAGGTCCACGTGCACTGGACTAGACTTGAAGCGGACGCCTGCAGTGCATGTCCACGCAAAGATCAATTTTTACGACCGCGTACTCGGTGTCGCACAATAAACTGCTCGGCGACGAACCGTTTTGTACGTGACACCGATGTAATAAATTCCCCTTCTTCAGCCGTGGTCTGGTTTAATGACCTTTTGTTTTGTTTGTTTTTCTCCAAGAGGCAAGCAATCTCTTTCTCCTCGTTTGTTGACACCATGACTGGCACCAGCGAATTAAAATCAGGCCCGGCGTGGCTGCAGGAGGGTCTGGAGATTTCCTGGTGGTCCGGACTGATGTGTGGGCTGCAGGACCAGCGCTCCCTGTTTTTTTTTATATATATATTTTTTAACATTTTATTAACAACATATAAACACAAAACACCGCTGCGGTTACCAGTTTTTTGTTTGTTTGATTTTACGACCTGTCAATCAATCCAGTACGTGTGTCAGCAAATCTGCAAACTCAATTTGTCCTGAAGATAAACGCCGCTTGCCTGTGGATGTGGGCTGCAGCAGCTCAGGGTGGATGCTCGAGTATGAAGTCTTAACGGTCTGCAGACAGTGTGTACAGTTTCTGCGTACTGAGGACCACCCGAGTCTGTGGGAGCCTTAAGAGAGACATGTATTAGGCAGCTACGTGAACACCCAGATGTGAGGAGGCTAAATGTTTTGGCGACATGAAGCTCGTTAACCCGTAAAAAAAAAATAAAAAAAAATAATAATAATCATAAATTTGTTGCAGCATTGTATAAACCATGATTTTCAAAGCATTTGAAAAAAGTAGCAGCTTATAGTCTGGAAATTACGGTACAAAGCGCCTTTCTATCAAATCAACATACTCAGAGCGCTTTACGACACAATCTGTGCCCTCATTTACCCATTCATACAAAACTCTACTAGAGCTCTAGAAAGATAATCTGAATCTGTATATATGTATATACAGTATAAATAAATCAAGAAATATTCAAACCAACTGTAATTAAATCAGACTGTTATAATTTACCAGCACTGACAAATAAACAAACAAACAAAACTGGTCCATGTTTGTTTTATCTTCTGACAAAATGTATTTGTTTCTGCCATAAAGTGCTGCTGTGTGTGGCCCCACTTTTTTCTGGTCCCCTAAAAAAGGCGGTAGTCACCATGGTAACCGGTGACAGAATCTGAGTCTTCAATATTACCCACCATGCTTTTCTTCCATCATGGCTGCCCACATTTATCTTGCAGAAGGTCATCAGGGTTCAGGGTTTAAAGTCAGAGAAACAGGAAGAGGTTTGAACCTGGAGTTTCAAAATAAAGCTTATAGAGACCCTTCATAATAAGAGTCTGTCTCTGGGATTTAGAGAGAAAAGATGATGGATGCTGGAGTTTTGTCTCTACTGTAGGTTGCTAGTTTTTAATAAAAGATAACTTTATGAACAAACTTTAATCTAGAAGTCAGACGGACCTCAGAGGTCACGTTCAGATCAGCAGAACTCACTTGAACTCGGTGGTGTAGATCACTCCGCTGGGGGATCCATCTGGTGGATCCCATTTCAGAACCAGGTCCAAGTTGTTGGAGCTCAGCCTGACGTTGGTTGGACTGACGAGGACTCCTGAAACCGCTGCAAAGCCCAGGAATGTTAGTTCTGATTATGAAACATCAGGAACAAAATATGAAAGGTCATGGTTCTCTTATCAGGACACAAGCGTGAGGGTTGGACCTTTTAGGTTCAAATAACTCCAGAGTGAATTGCATCTCCAACCATCGGATCAGAACCAGTTGAAACAACAAGAATTATAATAATCTGATTTTTTTTCAAAAGAAGAAAAACAGGCAGGATTTCCTGTCAGCAGCTGGACCAGGTTGTTCTGATCCAAAGAGCTGGAGCAGTTTTTCATAGTTCTAACAGAACTGCACCAGAACCTACACAGCCTGGGAGCTTGTTGGGTTTGGGTCTGTGAAGTGGCAGAACTGGACAAAGTTCTTCTGGGAAACTTTTGGTCCTGCCTACAAAAATCTAGTAATTGTCCAAAGAGTGGAAGGTTCCGGTCCAAACCACAAAGATCTCAGGACTAAAAGGACCTACTGCTGACAGGTCAGAGCCAGAGACTAAAGGAGACCTTCAAAAAGGCCACAGAAGACCTTCAGAGGGCCACAGAGGACCTTCAAAGGATCACAAAAGACCATTAGAGGTCTACAGTAGACCTTCAGGGGTCTACAAGAAATATTCCGAGGATCACAGGAGACCTTTAAAGGGCTACAGATGATCTTCAGGAGATCTTCAGAGATCTACAGGAAACATTCAGAGGACCAACAGAGACATTAAGAGGTCCATCGGAGACCTACAGAGGTCCCTAGGACAGCTTTAGAGGACCACAGATGTATAAGTGGTCCACAAGACAAGTCCTTCAAATGTTCAGAAGAAAACTAAACTTGGCCTAAGAAAAATAAATCAACATTTACCTAATAATGATGGATCAACAGATTGGGGCCTCGTCCTCAGTAATGAGGGCATTGCTTCGGTCTGTTGTGGTGAAGAGTTGAGTCGAAAGGCAAAGCTCTCAATTTACTAGTCTGTCTACATTCCAACATCAACAATGGTCACGAGGTTTGGATCAGGACTGAAAGAAGGAGATCCCTGATCAAGATGGGCTTCCTTCACAGGGTGGCCGGGCTCAGCCTTAGAGATAAGGTGAGGAGCTCCGTCATCGAGGGAGCTCAGAGTAGATGCCGCTGCTTCTCCACATCGAAAGCCGTCAGTTAAGGAGGTGTGGGCATCTGATCAGGATGCATTCTGGTCACCCCCTTCCGAGGTTCTCCAGGCACGTCCCACAGGAAGGAGGCCCCGGGGAAGACCCAGAATCCCTGGAGGAATTGAGTATCTTCTCTGGCCAGGGAACACCATGAGGTCCCTCAGAAAGAGTTGAAGTGTCGCTGGGGACAGGGAGTGCTGGGTTTCTCACATGAAGCTGTTGCCTCCGCAAACAGATTACAGTAGAACATGGATGGATAAAACCAACATTACCCTAATTATTGTAGAATAAACCAACATTAACCCTAATTATTGTAGAATAAACCAACATTAACCCTAATTATTGTACAATAAACCAACATTAACCCTAATTATTACAGAAAAAAAAACATTAACCCTGATTATTGTAGAATAAACCAACATTACACTGATTATTGTAGAATAAACTAACATTAATCCTGATTATTGTAGAATAAACCAACATTAACCCTAATTATTGCAGAATAAACCAACATTACACTGATTATTGTAGAATAAACTAACATTAATCCTGATTATTGTTGAATAAACCAACATTAATCCTGATTATTGTACAATAAACCAACATTAATCCTGATTATTGTAGAATAAACCAACATTAACCCTGATTATTGTAGAATAAACCTACATTAATGCTGATTATTGTACAATAAACCAACATTAATCCTGATTATTGTAGAATAATAATAATAATAATAATGTCATCACAATGTCAGCACTGTATGTTTCCATACAATGGCGAAATTAGTCTCTGCATTTAACCCATCCACCACCAGGTGGTGCAGTGGGCAGCTATTGAACGCGCCCGGGGGACATTTTGGGGATGAGACGTGCTGCCCAGAGACGCCACGTGATGTGCAGTGACTGGGGATCGAACCTGGGACTTTCGGGTCCCAAGCCGGCTGCCCTGCCTCTACACCATCTCGGCCCCCTTAATAAACCAACATTAATCCTGATTATTGTAGAATAAACCAACATTACACTGATTATTGTAGAATAAACCAACATTAATCCTGATTATTGTACAATAAACCAACATTAA